TTGTATTGCTGCAAGAGGTGCACATTTCGAACAAAATCTTCATTAAAAAGTTTATAAATAAAATAATTAAAATAATAAATTAAATATATTTTTTTCTTTTTTCGTGATTTCCTGCGAAACAAAGCAAAAAGGAGCATATGTCTATAGGACTTTTTTTCTTAGTTTTTTACTCCTCTACACGCTCCCGAAGTTTTGCCATTTAATTTGGAAACACCCTGTATATGTTTATTTACTTATTTATAAAACTTATGAGTCGTTTATTTAATTTGTTGACAGCCTGTGCCAAATTTATTTCCATCTACGCAAGTGCTTCCATCAGACCTACAAGCAGATCTTCAGACTCTACAATTAGAACCTTTACACGCAGAACCTCTACCACCTGATTTAACATCTTATGATCTTATTAGTGATGGAGATGTCGATCAACTTTCATTAGAGATTGAAAGGGAAAGGAGCGATTATTTAGAGAAGAGTAAGCATTTACAGGAACAACTGCGAGAATTACGTTCCGAAATTGAAGGTTTAAAAGTTGGTGACAAGCAGTGCGAATTGGATCACTTGCATGAGGAACAAGTTCGACTCGGCGAGAATAAATACAGCACGCTAAAAAAAGTGAAATCCGGATCCACTAAAGCTAGAGTCGCCTTTTTTGAGGAGCTGTAATTATTGAGAAAGAAATGAATTTATACTAACAGACACGTATTAATATGATACTAGTAAAATTCATTTGATACTGAAAAAGTAAAATCATATAGATGTGTATGCGCGCGCACACACACGCATGCATGCGCATACATAAAGAAAAGGACAGAACGAATATCCACTTAATCTAAATGAGAAATGGAATATCTTGTAATAATATACTTGAGTATTCTATATAGAACATTGAATCAGACATTGAACTAGATTTTTTAACAAATTTGAAATTCTTACAAAATTTCCGTGGAAATTCTGTACAGATATTGAATATAGGAAATCATAGGCCTGTTTGCTATCTTAAAATTTTCTTTTTTGCTTTCGGCAAATTCAAATATACGTCATCTTCAAATATCTATTTCATTTTAAGTACAAGTTTCATTTTTTTCCTACAATGGTCAATGAAGCAATTATTCCCAAATAAAGTTAATCCAATCGGCGCCATCCTTTGGATATCACACGTGAGTGAACCGCACGCTTAGTATTGTGCGTGAGTGTTCCGCCGCCTCGTTACGTTGTCTTCACTGCTAGTATGCTATATTCTCAATCGTCATAATAGTGCGAAAAAATTTCTTTTGCATTAAAAATTATATTTTTTTCCATCAGAAACATCTTTCGATAAAATTTCGATAAGGGATAACTCTCTGTATTATAAAAAGAAGACTATTTTACCAAATTATAAAACCCAAATTGTATTATCTTTACAAGAATACGTGCTCCTCGAAAAAAAAAGTATTGTAGCAAATTATAAAATTCAAGTGACACTATCTTTAGTGTATTAAATAAAAAAAAATAAAACTCAAGTGGTATTATCTTTATTATTCACTTAACTAATGATATGTATCATTTTTAAAAAGATTTCATATCAACACACAGCTGATCCCACACTTTTTTCAATCAAAGTAGTAGTAGTTATTCAATTCTTTTTCAAAACATTATTATATCACATAATTGTGTAATCTCATTCAATTCAAGCATTATCACAAAGAATTAAAGAAGTATATATATATATAACAGTATAAAATTAAAAAAAATTTAAATTGAATAAAATTTTTTTATGTAATGTACTTGGTGCTGCTAGATCTCAAAATATAATACAATAACGTTATGAAAAAGAAAAAACATTAAACTTTATTTTTGTTCAGTTTAACATTAATTTAATTACATTCAAATTAAATTCATTATCATTTTTAAATTGTCTTCATTGTTTTCTTTATTCGATCTAGCAATGCCAAATATTTTACATAAAAAATTTTTCTATTGAATTTAAATTTTTTTTAAATTTATACTGCTTTAATTCTTTGTGGTTGAATTAAGTAAAATTACGCAATTTTGTGATATAATAACGTTTTGAAAGAGAATTAAATAACTACTACTACTACTTTGATTGGAAGAAAAGTGTGGGATTTAACTTGGCGTCAGTTGTTGATATCAAATCTTTTAAACAAATGATGCATATCATTAGAGATCAATAAATAATCTGCCCAATCAGCACACAACATTATTTAAAAAATATTTTTTGAATATTTATTTAATGTAAAAATATTAAATCAATGTTTAAAAAATATTTTTTAAATGGATTCGAGATTCGAGATTCGAGATTATCTTAAGCTAGTGCATGAACCAATCAGAGAGCCGTATTAGCATCTTAAGACAATGGGCGAGTTCAAGACGGCAAAGCGGCTAGGTGTGCTTACCGAGCGGTTGAATATGATTGGTAGGATCTATAAGTAACAACCAATTATGTTCATTTGCTTGGCGAGCCGGCTAGCCGCTTTATCAACTTGAACGCGCCCATTGGCTGCGTTCAGCAGAAGTCAGCGCTTAAGAAGCGCTTTGTGCTGTGCTGCCAGCAGTTTGTAATTTCTGCCGAACGCACTTTTGTCCTTATGTATCAGTGTATAATAGGTCTGTTCGCGTTGCATGAAATCCCCAAATTTTTTGCACTTAAAATGAGATAGATATATATTTGGCCTTGAAAAGAGAGAAAACGAAGATGCTGAGTGCCAAAAGTGCAAGCAACGCGAACAGACCTAATCACGGTTGTTCGGTACACGAATAGTGAATGCCCGCGTTACCGACAGCGGCGGGGTGCAGGGCTGAGGCCCTTCAAGATGCGGCGCGGCGATCGGTATCGGCGCGCTTCGAGCCAGTTAGTTGCGTGTCATGTCGCAATGGTCAGTCGGACCGAGAGAAGAACGATCGTGCGTGCCGCCATTATTAGGCGTTCCTTTCCTTTTTGTAACGGCAGTGTGCGTGCAATAAAAGTGTCTTACACAACCTGTAGTTTGAATCGCCGCAAGATCCCTTCCTTACGACCGGAGGCGGCAGAGCGAGGTCAAGAAATCCCTCGATATATAATATAGGGAGACGCTTCTCCCGACCACGTTTCTCGCGGACTCAAGGCCGAGAAAACACGTGGGGCCGGCGCCATAACCATTCCACTAACGTGGCCCGGCCAAATCCTCAACAACGGTGTTGCGACTAATGTATTTTGGTGTATTATCGGAATAATCTATAGATAATGGAAGCTATAATTTTAATCGCGATAGATGACGATTTAAATATAAACGGTATAAATAATGTTGCGGAAGATTTAGGTCAACCCCAATTATTTTTTTTTTTTCTTGGAGTGTCCTCGGAGTGAGGGAAAATACGCGTCTTCAATCCTAACCTTAGTACCACATGACGCAAAACTCCAATTATTTGATGATTTGGAGGTTAGAAGGAATGAAAGACCGCAAAACGAAAATTATTATGAATTAATAATCCCTCAATATACTGATATACAATTTATTGAACACTTCAGGATGTCGTGATTTAGATCCATTACAGGTTATGTTCATTACCTCTCAACATGTTTCGCTTATTAACATCGACATCTAGAATGGACCGCTGATGACAATGGTGGGGGATCTAATCGTCTTTCTACCCCCACCATTGCCATCAGCGGTCCATTCTAGATGTCGATGCTTATTAAGCATACTTCCAGTATGCTGGAAAAAATGGCGCCCGCTTAGCAATATGTTGGAAAAGCGCAAACCGCTAGACGGCGTTCAGCAGAGAACGTTTGTTTTGCAACTGTTGTAAGTTTCCTTCGCGCTAATTGGATCATACTTTTAGATCTAGAAGAATGGTCCTATCTCAGCAGACAATCATAAAACGGTTGCAAAACTGTTGAGTTTGCTGAACGCAGCCATTGCTTGAGATTAAGACCGGATTATGAATTCCGACCTTATGAATGTAACGGTGCTGCAAACGCGGGTACACGAAGAACAATAGATTGTAACCCCTAGATATTAATCATGAAACTTTTTTCCTTCGGTGAAAAATGAAAAATTTCTCCATTAACTTAAAAAAAAAATGGTAAAAATTTTCACTTTTCACTATGATTTAAAGACAAGAGTATGTTCGTCCAGAGCCCTAGATACCAGAGATGCGACATTGAGCAGATTAGGCTGGGTTACAGCCGCCATTTTTTTTCAGAGGATACTATTATCATTAGTATCTCATCACCACATGCTACAATAGCTTATGCGTGTGAACTCATCGTGAAAAAAATAGCGTCGTGATCACGTATTGACTGTTTAAATCACGTGTTTTAAACAGCTAATCAGACCTATCCCCTCAATGTCGCATCTCTGTTATCTAGTCAACACTAGAGTCCTATATAAAGCTTCTTCTTCTTCTTCTTGTTTCCCCTTGTTTGGTTTTCCGACTCAAATATAGAGTCACAGTACCATGCAGAACGTAATGGATCAATTTGATCCAATGAATAACCTCCTCGGGGAGCAGAGGTCTCAAATCGTATGTTAATGAGAATTAAAGTTCCTTTAGTTGGAGATCAATGCGTCTATATAAAGTTGGTTCTACATTAGTCGCATCGCAGTATCGCAAGCGTTGCGGGGTCCACCCAGGTAGCAAACACACGTCATTTTGACGTCAAATTCCGGTCATGTTGGTACGAATGACGTCAAGTGACCAAAAATTGACCAACCGATGTTTTGACGTCATTATGACGTCATAATGACGTTAGAATGACGTCATATTTTGGTCTTCCTTAATTCTCCATTTGGAAACGTCCTAACATGATGTCATTTTGATGTCGTCGCGATAACACATAATTTGCGAAATTAGAGAGAGAGAGAGGAGAGAGAGAGAGAGAGAGAGAGAGAGAGAGAGAGGACGTCATTAAGACGTTATTATTAAGACGTCAACAGTGATTATTAGAGTGAACAGATATACCACTTTGATCAAAAAGTTCCCGGAATTACCATCAGGTGATGGTAATGGAGTTAAATTTGTAACATCCGTGAATTTTTGACCAAGAATGAAACGAATACCATCCAACAGTCATCGAATTCACCCGATATGGCTCCCTGCGATTTTTTTCTGTCCGATCGAGTCAAATTCAACTCCATTTTTAAAACTGTAAAAAATCGAAAACCGTGCAGAGATAGATGTACTCAAGATGGCATAACTTTTACAAATGTCAAGCTATGGCGATAAAATTTGGTGGAAATGTCAATGATAAATGTGGCAACCTAACAAAAAAAAACAGAACTCAAATCAGCTGACTCAGAGCATCACCTGGTGGTAATTGCGGGAACTTTTTGATCAAGGT